TGTAGGAGATGGCTCAATTACTCATTGTATACAGAGAATGGGTGGTGAAAAACCGGCGCGAGATTCAAGTTCGAGAAAACCGGCGCGAGATTCTGTTTCGTTAAATCAGCGGTAACAAACTTCCGAGCAGAGAACTAAGAAAAAGCTGAGTGACGACGAGAAGGAGACGACTAAACCCAACCTGTACGCTGACTTTCACATGGTTTATATAGTCTTCCTCTGATCATCATTTCTCTAATAATTCAATGTGATTTTGACACGTGTATTCTGATGAATGGTTAACAAGTCTTTGACGTTTTTTTTCCTCTTTCCTTTCATTTTAGGTTTAAAATGTTTGCAATTTCATCTATTTGAGGTAGCTTCTCATTACAATAAACTTATCTCAAATGTATATTTTTATCGATCTATCTATACTATTAAAACAGAACCATTCTAAAAAATCTACTGTAAAAAAGTTATTGGACCAATTTAACTTAACATATTATAATATCTATCTTAATCAATGACAAAATCTACTCATAATGAAAATGATTACAATGAGATATATTCGTTTATTGTAAGGAAATGTATTATACACATCAATGAATCACCCCAACTGTGCTAACCAGATCAAGCAAAAGAAACCATGTTACAGAAACAAGACATTTGGTTCTCGATAGAAAAATAGATGTAACCATTTACAAGCTAAGAAAGAAACTCATAGAGAAAGAGACTCTCTTGTGGTGTTATTCGCGAGGCTTGTGGTTGTCATCGAGAAGATGGTTTTCAGCCCCTTGTACNTTGACCAAAATAATTTTTTTTGTAATGTAGACCTACAAGTACGTCAACATCTTTACCTTTGAAACCAAAAACAAAAAAATTGGTAGACTTACTAAGAAATCTACATAAAACAGGTTAGATTTGCATTTGACCAAAATTTTGACTTACCATAGTAGACTTTCGTGGAGGTCTACACTTTGTAGACTGCTAGGTAAGTCTAGGGAAGGTTAGTTTTGCATTTGACCAAAACTTTGACTTCGTTGAATAGGTTTCTTTTGTATTTGACTAAAACTTACATTACGTGTAGACTTCATATGCAGTCTACAAAACTAAGAAAATAACTTACTTTACGTGTAGACTTCATAT